CCTCGATCCCTAAACTGCCTGCTGATAAACCCCCCTAGGCGATTCTGCCCGAATTGCCCGGGGGCTCGGGGGCTACACCCGCGGGTGCGCTTGCATGCACCCACTGATGAAACAAAACTTCCCCCACTGCCAACATGAAAAAACCCCTAGACGATTCTGCCCGAATCGCCCGAGGGCTCGGGGGCTACACCCGCGGGTGCGCTCACGCGCACTCGCCGTCAAGACAAAAATCCCCTAGACGACTCTACCCGAATCGCTCGGGGGCTCGGGGACTCCTGTCGGGTTCATAAACCCAGGGTCCCTCAAGGACCAGCTTCCCAACAAAGGCTCGGCCCAGCAGACAATGTTACAAATGACGCGCAACTCATGGGCCGACCCAAATACCTAAATGATAGGACAGAAGGACGATCCAATCTCTGACCGAAAGGCTTGGTCGAGAAGGAACGGCGCCCGCTTCTGACTCTGGCCCGCCTCTTTGACCAGAAGGCCTCGCTTCTGACTCTGGCCCGCCTCCGGACGGCCTCTTCGACTAGAAGGCCTGGCCAAACACCACTTCTGACTCCGACCCGCGGCCCCGACCGGGGATGCACCAAATCCCTACCCACTGCTCTTCTCCAACTAGCGCAATTAGAGCCGACTGGGATGAACCAACCGGGGACACCTGCTCGGTAAGGACTAGAAAATGGACGGAGAAAGTAAGGCAGGGCACTCAAGTCAACCACAATACCAAGGACCGTACCCTGTATACCTATAGGATAGTACCCTGGGACCTTCCCAAGCAGTGTTGTAGGCGCCGACATTTTCCCCACAGTGTTGTGGGCGCCATCAACTCCCATACCAGACAAACATGGTAAGGCTCCCCCACATGCCTCTGGGCATCAACAGTGTTGTGGGCGCTGGCATTTACCATACCAGGCAAACATGGTAAAACCCCTTGCATACCCCTCGGCATCAATAGTATGGCAGGCACCAACGTCTGCCATACCAGACGACGCAACCTCCCACGTGCATCTGACATTAAACAGTATTGTGGGCGCCTACCATTATCTGGTACCCACCGGCGTGGGCAACAAGACTTAGTAGCATATGTACTCTCTCTCTCTCTCTTGTAAGGCCATCCCTTTCATTTATAAAAGGGGATGCGCTCTCTCCCAAACAAGGGGATCGATCAGTTCACTAACACACAACAGCAAAACCACTAGGTTCAAACCTCGAGCACATGCTCAAACACATAGCACATAGCGGAGCTCCCGTCACTCTCGGCCCTTGAAACCATAGTCCAATTGGACCTCTTGTACCCCCCGTCTTTCTCCCTTCCGTTTGTAACCCCACAACAAACTTTGAGCACCTGGGCTCAGGAATAAAGTCACCGACCGACTTAAACTGGACGTAGGGCACGTTGCCTAAACCAGTATAAACCCTATGTCATTGAGTGCTAGGCCACCTCCGATCACAACGTACAGCAAAACTACAAATATTTACGTGTTGGTCACTTTCTGCACCGACAACATGTATTTTGCTTGCTTTTGCATTGAGTTTTGTCAAGCTTTGTTGCCCTTATGAGATGTTTGTCATACTCTTAAAATCAAGATCACGTACACACCACCCAAATATGCACAACTCCTACACTAGGGGTAGGCGCAAAAACATGACTTCCATCTAGATCCACAAAAAATTATTCTATTCCTACACTGGGAGTGAACAACAAAAATATGCTTGATAGGTTTTCCATTCACCAAATAAATGCTCCAAGTTCTTGTTGTTATCTCTCAACGTTTTGTTGCACAAAAGAGACATGGGGCTATTCAAAAGTTATTCATAAAAAAGGAGAAGAAAAAAAAGAGTTGAAAAAAAATGGACAAGTGTCCGAGATAGCTAAAACAATGGGTACTTAGATACCCACTAAAAAAGATGAATAAGATAGCCCCTGCTCTAGCAAATGTTTCTAAGTTTCCAAAGAGAGATAAGTTTTCAAGGAGTATAGTGGAATTAGGTTAGCCACCATATATATATCCACCATATATTCCACACACATGCACATCTTGATTTGATTGTATGACTCAACTCTCTTTGGATCCATTGTTTGACCTTACAATATATGCATTGCAAGTATGCCCTAGCTTTCTCCTTGCCTATGAACTCCATATAAAGCCTTAGTAGTAGGAAGAGAAGAAGGCATAACATCATTGTTGCCTTGGTGAGGATTTACAAATATCACATATATTGAGAGATTTGCGAGTGTCACACAATGGAATCTCTGAGTTTTATTTTGAAAACTTATAAAAAAACTCAAGAACAATGGTGGAACAAAGAAACTAGAGACATAGTTCTTGACTTGATCGTTCTGTCTTTCAATTACTCAAGACCCAAGTGAAGGCTGAGAAGCCCCATGGCTGAAGGTAATATGGGTAAGTTTGAAAGTCAGATCAGTTTATTCTAATCCTATGTACTTTTGAGGTGTGAAAGCATAGTACCAACTCCTAATTCATTGCTGAGTTTAGCTTTGCTAAGGGACTAGCAAAGGTTAAGCTTGGGGGAAATGTTGACGGTAGTTAACAACCACTATAAACCATCAATTAAACACGTATAAGGGCATAAATATAATCACCAATGAAGGTTTAGGGGTTTAAACTAATAAATTCCATGAGTTTTGGTGAATCCGTGTTTCTAGCAGGGTTTAATCAGAAAAACCGCCAAGGACGACCTAATCGTCAAAGGAAATTATGGAATTCCGCCATGCTACCTATGTGGGAAGACTCTAGAAAGTTCTAGAAGACACCTCAATGAAGCTTGGGCCATTTGGCCACAATAGTGGGCTGGCTGGCCCACTAGGGAGGCTACCTGGCCCAGTCCAGAGCCCAATCATTCTTCCCTTCAACGTGGACTCTCCCACCTCCTTTGAGGATGCATCTAAGCCATTGCTTAAGTTGGTTTGATCGAAGGGCTCATGTTGGACCCTTAGGGCTATATATACCAGCCCCTGCCCCCCTCCCCCAGCAGATCCTAAAACCCTAATTCATATTCTCTTCATGAGGATCAGAGCTAGCTATCAAGAGAAGATTAGTCCTCTATAGGATCAAGTCTTATAAATAGAAATAGTGAGATAGAGAGTGAGGGAAGAGTTTGGAAGAGATGTCGGCCTATCAGTGCTCTCTCTATGGCTTGTACCTTGGCGGATCCAAGTTTTACTTGAGCTTGTCTTTGAGATATCTCTGGTAATCAACTTCTGATTCAAGTAAGCATCTTGTTTATATTGTTCTTTAGGTTCACAACTCTCTTTTGAGTGTTTTATTCTCTTCCTAGGGGGAGTAGAGTATTAATCGTAAGTGTAAGCATGGTGCTTAGACTTAGGTTAATCGTTGATGCTCCCTGCATTACGGATCTATGGTAGATCAAGTGTGTGACATCATTACTATATAGCATCGTACTATATAGCATCATTGATCCTTTGTAGTCCACCTCCTGTCTGTAAGCGCACGAAGGACACGGTTACTAAGGAAAGCATCCTCTGCTGGTGTCTTTCTTTAAGTAACGTCTCTAGTTGAACAGTAAAAGACATAGGCTTACCCAAGTCTGAACTAGAGAACCTTAGTTGTCCTCTCTACGATCCTATTTTTCCTAACATTGTTGCTACTCCTAGATAAATTAACCCTTAACCTATTCACTACCCCTTGTTAAGTTAGACCGTAGCTAGTCTCACACGTTTCCCTGTGGATACGATACTTGGAATATTTTTGAGTGAAAGCTACACCGTTATCCGTGTGCTTACGGATTTATCTGTGTGTTAAATATACCAACAGTCACGGATGAGTAACTATAGGTCCCATAGGTACACGTCGGATGGAGAAGGTACCGTGTGGAGATCTATGACGAAGCACCATCATTACAGATCGAATATTGTTCATCACATATCAGTAATTAATTCAATGACGAAGCCTATTCGTCATAGTTCTGAATAAGATCGTCACAAACGAGTAGAAATAGTCGCGCGAGTGATCTGTGACAAAAAATCTGTGATCTTTTTTTGTAATGATACCCGATTTCATCATAGATAAGGGGAGTTCGAGGTTCATCACGGTGATCTATGACGAAACTAAAATTTTTGTCATAAAAAGCGATTTTTATGACGGTTTCAGAATCGTCATTAAAATTTTCATCATAAAAGTGAATATTCCTAGTAGTGTCTCTAGGAACACATTCATTACATCTTAACTTAGCGAAATAGTTATAACAGCAGAAACGCAATCCCTTGGACTTTGCTCCCACTGATTTTAGTGTTCTCTAGGAACATAATCAGGGTGCCATGTAAATAGCTCATTTACTTAGAATCTCATTTCTTATCCTTAGCTAGACTTTACTTATGTCTTGCTTAGTTTTTGCCTAGTAAAACTTGTATGGTCAAATATTCTATCAATCAGCTTTGGCCAGAATGACAAATATAAGGCATATAAGTCTCCAAAAACAAGCTCTATGAACTAGTCTAATCAGCGTTGGCCAGAATAAACTAGAACAATAACTTGGTGAACATGCAAACACTAATCAGCGTTGGCCAGAAATAGTGAAAGCAAGTCATACTTCAACTAGAGACTAATATGGGCTTAGGGAAAAATTAGTATGAATTATTTATTTCTCAAGTCCCATGCTTTATAATCTTATTTGAATAGAGCATCTCTTTCCTGATGAGACAGTCAATTCTCCCCTTCGAAATGTGGCTTAACTGTAGTGACACAATTTCAACAAGGTCTCATCATCTTGACCAATGATTAACTTAAAGATAAAACTGACATAAAAAAACTCATATTACAGGAAATAAATCTCTTTGACAACTAATAAGATAAATCATAATGGAATAAATTTGATGATGTGTCCATAAACTCCAACCTCAAGAACATTTGTTTAGGATACAATGGATTTATCAAAAAAATTAAGATAACTTATGCATCATCAAAAGCTAAACTTAAATCTGATCTAATGTGAAGCTCCAAGGCTTGACTTCATATTTATTCCATCAATGTCTCCTTAGACTTTGCTCCCCTTTCACTTATGGTTGGCAAGACCTGAGGAGAATTTAAGATATGCATTATTGCACCTTAGTTAATCCACCAAATGTTGAGGAAATATCTAAAGTAAAACTTATGAGACAACTTAAATTACCTATCTTTTGAAGCCATTCTTATACTTATCATCAATTTGGTAACTTACAAATTTTGCAAACCATTGGAAACTTATCATGGTTTTCTGGCATAGAATTCATAAGACAATTTACCATAAACTCATTGGACACATCTAATCCAAGTGCCTTCAATTCATAAGCCATATCAAACAAGTTTTTAATGTGGTTACCCAAACCACTTATCCCATCATAACAGGAATTAATTAACTTATCAAAAAGGAAAACATTTCTAAAGTGTGCTTTTATGGAGTTGTGAAGCGCCTTAGCACTTAATCCCTCGTTGTTCTTTCCATCAGAAAGAAACCCCCTCATCATGTTAACTGAGAGGGAGCATCTTATTATCATTTTGGCAATCCTATTGGATTTCTCCCATTTTTCTAATTTTGGGATGTACTCCTTCATCCTCTCATCATAGTACTCATAAATAGGAGGAGCATGTGGTTTTTCCTCATTAAGCGCATAATCAAGGTCCAGCTCCTTGAGAATGGCATGCACCTGATTATTCTAAGTAGGAAAATTAGTGCAACTTGGGGGTTCTATGGTACTTAAATAGTCTGCATAATTTACTAAAAAATTTGAAGAAAAATAATATCTTAATTAGTAAACTGTATATAAGATGTACTTAAAGCATGAAGTTAAAACAACGTTGGTCAGTATTAACAGCATGCTTAAGAATTTTAGTTTGCATCAATGTTGGACATAAATTAATTATGAGTAATCTCCGATTAAACTTCTCGTTGGTTCCAATTAACCAGAGACCATCTTATTATACAGTGGTGGATATATTTGTATATACAAAAACTTATAACTGAATGCAAATCAAGCAAAACTTAATCTTAGGCATCAATAAAGCATAAAATGCTCATGAAAGCATAAGAATAATACTGCAACTAACGTTAAAGACTCTGACTTAAAACTTATTTAAATCATGCATAAAAATATCTGAGTGAATTGCAGTAAAGAAAGATTTCTTAAACTTAAACATAAAATTTTCAGCAACATATCGCCAAAACTTGCTTAAAATAACTTAAAGATTACTAAATAAAAGGGGTACTTAAACTTTATATGAAGTGGGAATACAGATCATTAAGTTGTTGATAATAAAACTAAAGCTAAAAATACTAAACATAATGAGGGCACTAAAAATTAAAACTTAATTAAAGCACTTAAATAATGCACTAATAGTAAAGGAAACTTATTCCAAAAATAAATCTTAGTTCACCTCTTAAAAATAGGCACAATAGTAGCTCAAAAGTATCGTGCCAGGGCACGGCCTGCTCATGGCCTAGTCGGCCCAGCCAGTTCTCCCCTCAAAAACTGAATAAACGGCCCACTTAGGAAATCCTGGTGGCTAGGATGAACTCATCTCAACGGACGACTAGGATTTGGCCAGACAAAAACTCATGGGCATAAATACCCAGCAAAAACCCTAATATCCATAGATACTCATTTTCTTTTCTGCTCCTTTGCGCAGTAACCACATAGGGGAACTCATAAAACTCAGTGAGCAAATTTATATTAACATAAACTAAACTCATAAATAATGAAAATTAACATTAACTTAGTCAAAAACGTATTTTAAAATGCTCAGATAAAGTGCTAAGAATAAATAATGAATCAATCTCAATTCTAAAAAACTCAATTTTGGCCATAAAACTAAAAACGCCTAGCAAATGGCCCATGGGAGCGCCTAGGCAGGCGCAGCCTGTTAGGCCCGGTGGCTCCCCATGAGGCCCAGTAGCGGCCCAAGATGGGAAACCCTAGCTACTGAGCAATCTGAGCCACCCATCTTAATCAGACCATCACGGTTTGTCTAAAACTCACATAGAAATAGGGATGAAACCCTAAACTCACTCAACCACTTACTCTCACTCTCTCCCCTTCTTCAATTACCGCACAGAGCAAACTAGGAGAGAGCAGACCGGGATGGTGTGGCACAGCGGCGCTCGGCTCGCTAGTGTGCGCGTGCGGCAGAACCGCGCATGTCTCTATCGAGCCTAGCACCAGGCGCCCTTATGTCAGTGTAGCAGTACCAGCAGCAGGTGGCGACGCTCATGGCCACTAGCGGCGGCAGCATTTCACTGTGCGCGCGAGGAGATGACGGGTACTGGCCCTGGGTGGCACATGCGCTGTGGCAGCGATGGCCTGCCCCTAAGGGCACGCTGAAAGCTCTAGTTTGGTTTTGGTGAATTGATGAAACCCTAAGTGCTAACCTAGTTTATCAAAGTGATTATGAGATAGGTAGCACTACTCCAAGTGATTAAGCAAATGAAGATCATGACATGGTGATGGTGATGGCATGGTGATGATTAAATGCTTAAGACTTGGAAAAGAAGAAAGAAAAACAAAAAGCTCAAGGCAAAGGTGATATTGATAGGACCTTTTCGGTTTAGTCATCGAGACACTTAGAGAGTGTGATCACATTTAGGATTGATAGCCGTACTATTAAGAGGGGTGAAACTCGTATCGAAATGCGGTTATCAAAGTGCCACTAGATGCTCTAACTAATTGCATATGCATTTAGGATCTAGTGGAAAGCTAACGCCCTTGAAAATGTTTGTGAAAATATGCTAACACACGTGCACAAGGTGATACACTTGGTGGTTAGCACATTTGAGCAAGGGTGGAGAAGTTGGTGAAATGAATGAAGTGATAGTCACTGAGATACAGTGATCGGACTCTGACCCAGGGTCCGATCAGTGGCGTGCAGTGAAGGCCGCCCTCGGTCTCTTGACCGGACGCAGGCGACCAGACTATGGTTGAACAATGTTTAGCGTCTGGTCCTGCTGATGTGGTGGCGCACAGTAAAGATGGTGAGTGACCGGATGCTGGGCGAGTCTGGTGGGGCGAGACCAGACGCGTTCGGTCACGAGTGGAACCACTAGAAGTGACCGGATGCTAGGGTCCTATGTCCAGTCCTACACTATAGTGCATCTGGTCACAACTTAAATGTACTGATGACCATTGAGATCGGGCGATCAGCATTTGAGGTAGGGGCCACGTGGCGTGCATCGCGCGACCAGACGCTAGTGTCCTGTGTCCAGTCGATCTGACCGGTGCATCCGGTCGCCCTAACTTTTCAGTGAACTGAGAGCCAACAGCTCTATTCATGGGGGCTCTCTATTTAAGCCCCATGGCTGGCTCAAGCTCACTCTCTTGGCCATTTGTATTGACATAGCAACATTGTGAGCTTAGCCAAAGCCCTCCCACTCATCTCCATCATTGATTCATTATCTTTGTGAGATTGGGAGAGAATCCAAGTGCATTGCTTGAGTGATTGCATCTAGAGGCACTTGGTGTTCGTGTTTTGCTGTCGGATTCGCTTGTTGCTCTAGGTGGTTTCCACCACCTAGATGGCTTAGTGCAGCAGAGGAGGATTGGTATGAGTTGGTGATTGTGCGTTGCCATCTTCCGATGATTGTGAGGGGACTTGTGCTTTCCTTGGTGGAGCGCCGAAAGGTAACCCTAGTGGATTGCTCATGTCATTGAGTTACCTCACTTGTGGATAGGTTCTTGAGGTGTCCAATTGTGTGGACGAGGTTGGTGAAACACCTCTTAGCTGTGAAACCACCAAGTGTTGGTCGACACAACGGGGACATAGCATGTTGGCAAGCACATGAACCTCGAGAGAAAATTGGTTGTCTCTTGCCCCTTGGTATTCTCCCGGTGATTGAATTATTATTCATCTTGTGATTGGTTCACTCCTCTATACGGCGGTATAATCACCTTACTCATTTACATTCCCACAAACTAATTGTGACAAGCTCTTTAGTGTAGCTAGACTTGAGAGCTTGCTTTGTAACTTAAGTTCATCTAGTGGAGCTCTTTAGAGTAGCAAGTGTGAGAGCTCTTAGTGAGTAGTGACTTAGTAAATTGTGTGTCTAGTGATCATAGTAACTAGAATTGTTGGATAGGTGGCTTGCAACCCTTGTAGAGCTAGAGCAAGTTTGCTTTTCGCTACTTGTCATACTAATCAAATTGCTCTAGTTGGTTTGTAGATTTTTAAATAGGCTATTCACCCCCTCTAGCCATATTAGGTCCTTTCAAGTGGTATCAGAGCCATGGTCACCGTTTGATTGAAGGCTTAACAACCTCGGTGTCAAATTATAGCTCAAGTTGTGTTCAACCATGTGGGGGGCAAACCACCATTCTTTGATGGCACAAGCTATGATTATTGGAAAAGAAACATAAAGATGTATCTTGGTTCAATCAATGATCAAGTATGGGATGTGACCGAGAATGACTATGCTATCATTAATCCCAACAATCTCACCAACCAAGACAAGACCAACAAGCAATGCAATACAATGGCCCTCAACACCATATACAATGCCATTGATTCCAAGGTGTTTGAGCAAATCAAGGATTGTAATAGAGCAAATGAGGTGTGGAAGAGATTGGAGAAAACATATGAGGGCACACCAGAGGTGAAGAGTGCCAAGTTGTATATTCTCAAGGACAAGTTGACAAGTTTCAAGATAAAGGAAGATGAGAGCATTCTGGAGATGTTCTATCGATTGCAAGTGATTGTCAATGATTTGAAGGCATTGGGAGAGAAGATCAAGAATGATGATGTCTCTTATAAGTTCTTGATGTGCTTACCTCTAAGATTTGAGATGTTGAGATTGCTTATCATAAGAGGAGGATTGAAGGAGATTACCCCCTAACCAAGTACTAGGTGATGTCATGACACAAGAGACATACCATATGGAAAGGGAAGTGGTTGACAAGGATGACAAGAAGGAAGACGAAGACAAGAAGAAGAAGAGTGTGGCATTCAAGGCTAGATCATCATCCAAGAACAAGGGCAAGTTCAAGAAAGAATCAAGTGATGATGAGGATCTTAGTGATATTGATGATGAAGCCATGGCTCTATTTGTGCAAAAGATGGGCAAATTCATGAAGAAGAAGGGTTATGGTGCAAGAAAGAGAAGAGATCACACCAAAAGCAAAGAATATGTGAAAAGATGCTACAATTGCAAGAGCCCCGATCATGCTGTAGCGGATTGTCCCTACAATAGTGACAAAGATGAGAATGAAAAAAAGAAGCACAAGAAGGACAAGAAGGAAAAGAAGGAGAAGGAGAAGAGGATGACCTTCCAAAAGAAGAAGAAGGGTGAAGGATATGTGGTCACTTGGGATAGTGATGGTTCTTCGGATAGTGATGGCTCTAGTGATGATGGCAAGAAATCTATCAAGAAAGCACTAGCAAGCATCGCCATCAACAACAAGCCCTCCATCTTCGACACTCCATCGACAAGCCTCATGGCAAAGCCTACCAAGGTAAAATATGATGTGAGTGATGATGATGAATGTGAAAGTGATGCTTGTAGGAGTAATGATGATGATGAGTACACCAAGGAGGAGCTCATGGACATGTGTGAGCAAGTGCACACTTGTTT